AGTATATCTAAGACCATAAAAAAGAAGATGTCCATTAATAGAATAGGAGCCATTTCCTCCGATGAGTGAAGACAGTTTAAGAAGCAGAAGGAAGAAATTAAGGAGCAGAATAAGAACGATATATTGATTAAAAAAATTAAAATACTGGAAGCTAAGGAAAGGAAGGAGAAAGACAAAAGAAAACAGAAGAATGACAAAAAAGAAAAGAATAGTACAACATGCACAGTGAGCAGAATAAGGTGTAACTCGTGTGAAGAGGAACTGACTAGTGACACAGAAATAATCGAATTAAAGAATATTAGTTGTGACAATTGTCCTGCATGGTATCATCTAAAATGTACTGAATTTGCTGGTAACGTTTATGAGAATGTGTATAAAATAAAGAGTTTCTATGTCCAACATGCAAGAATAAGCAAGTGGCTGACTACAGCTTTTTTTATAATTATAACATAATAATAACGTTTAGTTAATCTGTTTAGATAATTTAATACATAAAGTTTCTGATAAAAATAATTGTTTTTATTTAACGCCTTTATTTTTTTGTATGCAATTGAAACAAATTAAGATTCTCACTAAAAGGCTGACTATTGGGTGTTTTACCCTACTTATTTATTTTAAATGTAGTTACGAAAAAAAAAAATTGTATTAAATAAGGTCATTTTAGTTAAATTAAGTACAGATTTTGAAGCTAATTTCCTCTTCCATTTAATATATTATAATCAGCGTTATTTTCGCAATATTCCGATATATTTTTCATTGAAGATAATTTTTTCAGATATATTAAAAATTTTGTGAAGATATATTATGATTCGAAAATTAAAACAACAGTTATATACTAAAGAAAAACATTTTACATAAAAATTTGGTATAAACATATTGCAAGAAGCGAGAGTTATCATACGTAATGATATTATCTCGTAATGATCTATATCAAAGATATTTGGCAAGCACAACACAAAAGCGACTTTAATTTTTTAAAGAGCCTACTAGGTAATTGTCAGATTGTTTCGTCCATAAAATTTTATTATGTTCAAAGATACGGTATAGTTACTGAAGATTGTTCGGTGTTAATTGTCTTCTTTAATTCGGACTAACATACCGACTGACGATGGGATAACACCGAATAGTCAGTGCCAGTATTCGTCACACGCAACCCATAAACACTAGTCGCTACTTCCTAAATAGCAAACATTTGTTATTCGGGACTCGCCGAATATCGCATGTCTGTGTCCTGCTTTATACATGCTATCGTGGTTCTAATTACATAAAATATTACGTTAACCTTCCGCTACCGGAGGGGGGTACAGATTTTACCCCAAATTCGATTTTTCATGAATAATTTTTAAAAATGTTGGAATTTTGTTTAACTGTTCTAGTTACTTCTTCATTGGAATGTGTAAAAGCATATCCAACCATTTGTTTTAAATTTGACATATTTTTACCTATGAAAACTGCAGCACTGTGCTTGGGGTACAAGTTGTACCCCCTCCGACAACCGCGGTACAATTCATTGCGGTCGACGCCACTGACTAAACCAGACGTTTTGCGCACGGCACCAAACCTGTTGTTTGCAATAACACACAAATCAGTTCTGTGGATGACTTAGTGCTAACATACCGTTTTAGTTTATCCATTTGTGATTACACGATTTACCGATATGTCGAAAAAAATAAAGTTTGTCCTTCGGAAAGAACAGGATCGTGAAACTGCAGTGCAGTGGTTAGAGGAAAGTGATGATGATTACCTTTCTGAAAGAGATAGTTTATCGGATGATTCAGAATTATTTCAGAATTAGGTAATTTTTATTTTTGTTTTATGTACGATATTTCTATCTTGAGTTTATTATATTTTAGCCATCTGAGAGCGACAGTAATGATTCTGATAAACCAGTTTTGGGGGCAGTAGATTCCACATTTATTTCCAAGAATGGTACAGTTTGGAAAAATCGTCCTTTACGACAAACTAGATGTCGCACAAAAAAACTTGCTCGAAAAACCAGGGCTTACAGAAAAATCTAAAAATGTCGCTAAAATTAGTGATTGCTTCAAATTATTTGTAGATGAGAAAATTGTAGAGATCATCGTCAAATGTACAAACCAGAAAGCGGAGAAATACTTTCAGGATTGGAATGGGAAAAATCCTAATAAAACAAGAACCTGGTTGCCCACTGATTCAGTGGAAATTTATGCGGTCTTGGGACTCTTGATTACGGCGGGTGCGCTAAAAGCCAATAGGGAACCAGTGCACTTTTTGTGGTGTCGAAACCCTTTGTACAGTCGATCTATTTTTCCGGCTGCCATGTCACGCGACCGATTTCTAGATTTAATTTCACTTATGCGATTCGATGATTTGAACACTAGAGAATAACGTAGAAGTTCTGACAAACTAGCAGCTTTTAGGGAAGTGTTTACAAAGTTTGTACTTTGTAAAGAAAGTTTTAAGTGCCACTCTCATCTAACTGTTGATGAACAACTTGTAAGTTTTAGAGGTAAGTGTCCATTTAGAGTCTACATGAAATCAAAACCAGCCAAGTCAATGATGGCATCAAAATATGGGCTCTAGTTGATGCAACAATCACCTATGCTGCTAATCTTCAGATTTATACTGGAAAAGATTGTAACAAACCAGAAAAAGACCAGGGCAAATAGTAGTACTTGATTTGGTCTCATTTCTAAAAACTGGTTATGGCATCACTACTGATAATTTCTTTACCAGTGTTCCCTTGGCAAAACAACTCCTAGATCGACAAATAACATTATGTGGAACACTTCGAAAAAACAAGCAGGATATCTCTCCAGCCCCACTACCCAAGACAAGAAAAGTCCTCAGTTTTTGCATTCACTGAGAAAATAACACTGGCGTCTTACGTTCCTAAAAAGAATAAGGCAGTCAATTTATTGAGTAGAGAACATAACAACGACAAAATTAGCGGAGAACAGACGGACTATAAGCCAGACATAATCTTGCATTACAATTCTACAAAAGGTGCCGTAGATATTATGGATGAGATGGTAAATTAATATTCTTGTAAAAGAGCCTCTAAGAGATGGCCAGTTGTTTTGTTTCAAAATCTTCTAGACATTGGAGGTCTGAATGCATACGTACTGTGGACGACAAAGAATTCCATTCGTGCGTATGAAGCTTCTCAGAATTCTGAAGAATTTTTACTAAACCTGGGCCAAGAACTTATAAAGCCCCATGTCGATAGGCGACTACAAAGTCCACAAAAATTCCATAAGCGAATTATAAACGCGATGTACGAATTATGCCCACCGCCACCAAGGGAGAATCGCGAAAACAACGCCACCATCTTGAAATCCTCAGGGCGATGTTTACTTTGTCCACGCAAGAAGGACCGCAAAAGCAGAAAAACGTGAAATTCTTGTAAATTCTTTGTTTGTGCTGAACATCAAACATCCATAACAATTCAAACAATAATATGTACAAAATGTAAAGCTAATATTGTTCTGAAGCTATTTTCTTGTGCCATTTTAAATTAATTCTGGGAATAAGCCACAATTAAAGATAAAAATACGTTTATTGATGTTTCAATTTCCACTTCGGAAATCGTTCTCAAAATACAAACAGTAAATTAAACAAATTTTGTTTTTTGTTACATAGTGAAAAATTCTTCTAATAATTTAATTTCATCTGACTCATTTATATTGACAATTCAGACATACATTATGCATTTTAAAGTAGACGACTTTAAAATGATATTGCCAATATTGTTGAGTTGCGCTCCTGGCACGACTTTACTTATAAGATAGTTCACTCGATTACATGAAATCAACTTTAACTTCAGAATATCCGTCAGAAAAAAATCATAGCATGTAATTCGTATTTAAAAAGACAAACACATGACATGATGACAGTAAAATTCTCCTTTTAGTGATTCCATAGTAAATTATGAGGGAAAAACCAGGAAAAAAACCTCATAATACTATCCCGACATGGTAAGTATTTGTTCGTGCATTTAGTTTACCTTCAATAAACACCAAAATTCTGATTTTATATGTTTCGTTATTTAAAAAACATAAATGATGTATCCTCTATATGAAATTATACTAAATATTGAAACAGGAAGTTATTAATAAGAAAATACCAGTATTGGTAAGTCAGCAACATATAGAGGATACATCATTTATGTTTTTTAAATAACGAAACATATAAAATCAGAATTTTGGTGTTTATTGAAGGTAAACTAAATGCACGAACAAATACTTACCATGTCGGGATAGTATTATGAGGTTTTTTTCCTGGTTTTTTCCCTCATAATTTACTATGGAATCACTAACAGGAGAATTTTACTGTCATCATGTCATGTGTTTGTCTTTTTAAAGACGAATTACATACTATGATTTTTTTCTGACGGATATTCTGGAGTTAAAGTTGATTTCATGTAATCGAGTGAACTATCTTATAAGTAAAGTCGTGCCAGGAGCGCAACTCAACAGTATTGGCAATATCATTTTAAAGTCGTCTACTTTAAAATGCAAAATGTATGTCTGAATTGTCAATATAAATGAGTCAGATAAAATTAAATTATTAGAAGAATTTTTCACTATGTAACAAAAAACAAAATTTGTTTAATTTACTGTTTGTATTTTGAGAACGATTTCCGAAGTGGAAATTGAAACGTCAATAAACGTATTTTTATCTTTAATTGTGGCTTATTCCCAGTTAAATAGTAAGATAATCAAAATCAATAGTATTAAATGTAAAGCTAATCAAAAAAACGATAATTAATATTTTCAAGACACCGTATATTTTTTTATTGTTACTTATATTCAATAAAAAATACTTGCATTTGTTTTAATTATATTTTAACTAAAATTATTGCATTATGTTAATATTTAATCTATAAAAATGCATGGGGTACATAATGTACCCCCTCCGTCAACTACAAAACAACTTGACCCTTCGGTAGCGAAAGGTTAAATAACATTCTATAATTTTATATAACAGAAAGCAATAAAAGAGAATTATAAATAACTCACCTATGTATCAGTCTATTTGCTTCCAGGTACTGCATTCCATCGCAGATCTGATAAGCGAAATCACAGAGAGTGAGAACTGGAAAGCTGGATCTTAATGAAGGCTCTTTAAGACACTCCAATAAGGATCGAAGTGGAGCTAATTCAGTTACTAACATTAGGCTACCGTCTATATTAGGTAAAACTACTCCAAAGAATCGAACAATATTCGGATGATCTATGTTGTGCATAATCGAAGCTTCTTTTAAAAATTCCACCATATTGCTTTGCATTCGGTCCCTTGATAAACATTTTATTGCAACCTGGAAATAAAAAATACTTTAATACACCATTTCAATACACCAATATTATAACTCAGTAGTACATAACTGATCAATAGACATAATTTAAACATATTGAATGTATTTAAAAAACATAAAATATAAAATACACACACATACGTATTTCAAACTTTTAGCATCATCAACTGCAGCTTACAAAAGACGAGATGAGAAAATTTCCATTCACATATGCCACGAGATAGGAAAATATTTCCATTCGTATATTGGTGGTGGATACACAAACTTTTAGTCTGTACGTGACTATTCTAAATTAATTAAATAGTAAATAAAAACGGCGCATGGCACTTGGGGAGTGCCAAAAGAAGTGAATACGTCTAGCGCGATAGTACTATATACAGATTGAACGAAATAAATTCGGAACATACGAAATATTATGTATTTCGGCTCAATTCTGCTGTAGGTGGTTGACCAACAAAAGGTTGTCAAATAATTATATTATAAAAATCCAATACTTCAGCGGGCTGCTGGATTCTGAAATCATAAAAATTGAAAGCTACACATAAATCTACGATTTTATTATGCTGTCAAACCACTTATAGTCCAGGAAATGAAGCATTTCACCTCGCAATTTTTTCGTCCTGCGTGGATTGACTTGAAATTTTAACAGAAGGTAGGTAATAGCCAAGGATCAAAATCTATATCGAACCAAAGTGCGCCAAAGCCTTGGGGGTGGTTGCCACCCCATCTCGGGGGTGAAAATTTTTTTTTACGTTTTAACTACAGGTTTCGATTAAAAAAGTGATTCTAAACAAAAAATGTTCTATACATTTTTTTTGTAAAACTGATATTTTTCAAGTTATTCGCGATTGAAAGTAACAACTTTTAGACGAAAAAATCGACGTTTTTAATCGATTTTTCGCGAATAACTCGAAAATGGTGCATTTTATCAAAAAAATTGTAGAGAACAAATTTGTAGCTTTTAAAAAGACAAATACAATTCATTTTTTAAAATGTTTTTGCGATATAACAGGAACCGAAATACGGCCTATCAATGTTCAGCGGTTTTCTTCAAATGCCAAATTTGAAAGATTCAAAGTCAAATATCGGGAAAATGATGCATTTTTGGAAGAAAACTCACAGAACCTTTTTTAAAGAGCATAAATAGACCTATCATAAAAAAAGACTCTAGCTCAAAAATTGAGTGAGTTATGATGAAAATAAGGTCAATACCTCATTTTTTTACGAAAAAATCGATGAAAACAACCCCCTAACCACCCCATAATTAAAATCGATCTTCACCCTTCTGCAATTCTCTTTGTACATGTATTGTTAATACGTCCAAGAAGTTTGACCCATTTAAAATGCTTAGTTTTAGAAAAAGTACAGCATAAAGCGAGAAACGATTTACAATTTCATATTTTTTACCCTTCTTTTTTAAATATCCCCGAAAATACTGAATATATGAAAAAAATAAAAATGTACTAAATTGTAGCTTTTTTAATGACTAAAATTTTCCTTTATTTAGATTTGTTGTACAATGAATATTTGGCGAGATATAGCCGTTTAAAGCATCGATTTACGATCAAGCACCATCTTTTTCGAGCCCTTTAAACTCACCCCATTTAAAAACCAAGGGTTCCAAAAAGATTTAATTCACAGATCCTTGTAGCTCTTAAAAACCTCTACAAAATCGTTTTTGAAGAAACACTCTATCGTTAAAAATGAAGGAAATACGTTAAAAAAACCAATTAATTTTTTTTCCGGAAAATTCCATTAGTATAGTACAGTACATTTCGGAGCATAATAATCTACAAAACCGGTATATTAGGTAGTGGGGCGTTATACATTCGAAATTTTAAGCGTTCTTATTTTGAAATCCCATACAACAGAATAAAACATCTGCTCATATGTCTATGGCTTGGCAATGAAAATATCAGAGCAACAGATTGGGGATGGTATTCCAAAGATGGTTTGTTATTACCCGTACGCATGAACAAACAACCTGCACCCGATGAACTTTTGAAAATTATTTTTTGCCAATGCAAAAAAGGATGCGGCGTTTCATGTGGGTGCAGAAAAGTTGGTTTATACTGTAACTCTACTTGTTCTGGGTGCTCAGGTGAAGGGTGCAATAATAGTCCACCAATAATTGAAGAAGATGAGGATGACATAGATCACGATGAAGATGTAATTGATGACGAATAAAATTAATATTATAATTGTTTTACCTATAAATGTAAATATTTTCAACTATTTATGTAAATGTATAAGAATATATGGTGCCTTTTTATGTTGATAATTTTTTTTGTATTTAATTCTACTTTTTTCAATTTATATCTATTAAATTAGTTTATAAAAACTGCAATGTTGTAAAGGGTGATTTTCAAAAGTTGAAAAGTTGCAAAATTTTGCAAAAAATTGTTTTCACCTATAGCACTCATAACAATTGATTTTTAAGGGTTGAAAATGTATGAAATTGTATTTTAAAGTATAAAAAAATCACTATTTAACTAATCCAAACCAAATTTCACTCATCTTAAGATTTGTAATGTTATTTTACAATTTTTGAAAATTAGGGGTAGTTTTCACCCCTAAGAACAATCAGGGTTCATCGGCATGACATAAACTATAAAGCAGAGGGTGAGTTGAGCTTAATTCCAAATTTTTATGCAAATCGTTCCAAGGCGAAATCATTTTCTTCGCATTACTACTTTTTTTACATTAATCTCTAACAAGGGTCGCTTTTTAAGGGTTGAAATATGATGGAACTTTATTCAAAAGCACGAAACTATCATTATTTAATTAATTCAAACCAAATTTTACCCATATTCAGGTTTAATATGTTATTTTATAATTTTTGACAATTAGGGGTAGTTTTCACCCCTAAGAACAATCAGGGTTCGTCGACATGACATAAACTATAAAGCAGTGGGTGAATTGAGCTTAAATCCAAATTTTTATCCAAATCGATCCAAGGCGAAATCATTTTTTTAGAATTAGTAATTTTTTTACATTAATCTCTAACAAGGGTTGCTTTTTAAGGGTTGAAATATGATGGAACTCTATTCAAAAGTATAAAATAATCATTATTTAACTAATTCAAACCAAATCTTACCCATATTCAGGTTTAATATGTTATTTTATAATTTTTGACAATTAGGGTAGTTTTCACCCCTAAAACCCTTCAGCGCACTTCGGTTCGATATAGATTTTGATCCTTGGGCTATCACCTACCTTCTGTTAAAATTTCAACTCAATCCATGCAGGACGAAAAAATTGCGAAGTTTTAACTTTTTTCGAGCTTCATTTCCTGAACTATTATCGCTTCCTTTACGCAAACAACATTGTTGCGAGACAGATAGTTGAACGATATTTTATACAATGTCTATACCAGGTATGGATTTATTTTTGTCCAAGTTTTATATTGGTCCACTATTTCAAATGCAGTTCAAACAGACATATATTAAATTGTATGATCCGTTTTAAATTCGTTCAATCTGTATGTAGGTTAATGCAATTTTATGTCTCCTTATTAGTGAATTGTTAATATTTTTTTATAATAACACCACACATTTAGTTCTTCAAAATTAATATTTAATATTAAATCTTAATTTTTTTCTTTAAAATTTTTTTTTAATGATTTTAATAGTTTTCAAGATTTGTTAAATATAATATAAAATTTATTCACCACTTACATTTTAATTCTTATTTTGCATTTAATGTTTAATCACTTCATTTTGATTATCATTATATTTCATTACAATGGATAAAAAAAAACAAAAAACTGAATGAAGCAATCAGGGAGTGACCGAGGAAGGGCACCATAGCTTTCTTATCGTCTACGCACGGAGCGATAGTTTTTCTTCTTCTTTGGTGCGTCTTCTTAGCGAACGTAGGCGATGACCTCTGCAAAGTCCTCCCTGTTTTGGGCTTTCCTTATTAAACTTTGAAAGTCTAATCCTGTCCAATCTTTGATGTTGCGCAGCCAGGTCATTTGTCGTCTACCCGGGCCGCGTCTGCCTTCTATTTTCCCTTCTATAATAAGCTGAAGGAAGTTATACCTGTCGTGTCTAAATATGTGTCCAAGATAAGACGTTTTACGCTTCTTGACAATTTCTGTGAGTTCACGTTCTCTATTCATACGCCTTAAAACTTCTTCATTTCTAACGCGGTCGGTCCATGGAATTTTCAGCATACGACGAAATACCCACATCTCAAAGCTCTCTAAACGTCGTAACGAGCTGACTGTTAACGTCCAAGCTTCCACGCCGTGTAATAGTACACTATATACATAACACTTTATCATGCGGTATCGTAGGGACAAATCAAGATTACGGGTAGTGAGTAACTGTCGCATCTTTAAGAAGGTGTTTCTTGCCTGTTCTATTCTACATTTAACCTCTTGTTCTTGGTCTAAGGTTTCATGTATCCAACAGCCTAGATACTTAAACTTTTTCACTTGTTCAACTAGATTGTTGTTGACTAGTATGTTTATAACTGGTGTGTGTTTTTTTGAAATTACCATTGTTTTGGTTTTTTTTACATTCACCTTAAGGCCGTATAGTTCTCCTTCTCGCACTACTTTGGTTAACAGAATTTGTAGTTCTTCTTCACTGCCAGCAATCAGTACTGTATCATCGGCATACCTGATATTGTTCACGATTTTTCCATTGACTTTTATTCCTTCTTGTGCTTCATCTAGAGCATGTGCAAAGATGTCCTCTGAGTACAAGTTGAATAATAATGGTGATAGTATACAACCTTGTCTAACTCCTCTTTGGATGTTTATGGTTTCAGTATCACCCATTTCAGTTCTGACAGAGGCGTTTTGGTTCCAGTAGAGTTCACGTATTGTATTAATGTCGTTTGGATCCAGGTTCTTTTTTTGCAAGCATTCTATTAGCTGATCGTGTTTGACTTTGTCAAAAGCCTTTTTCATAATCTATAAAGCACAAGTAGACATCTTTTTGTTGATCCCGGACACTTTTGCATGAGAACAATGAAACTGAACAAAGCTTCTC